AAAATAAATACGACGATCACGTTTACACACTGCCTCTGAACTTTCATCCGTCATAAAAAAAATTGGGATCGGGTTCGATATTCTGCATTTTTCGCATCTGTAGCAAGCATTTTGACTCGGTGTGCAAGGGTTCTGTCAGAGAGTACATATATTTCATTACTGTACTTAAGTACACTTTTTGAGTATCTGTACTTAAGTATTATTTTTTCTGGAAACTTATGACCTTAACTTCACTTACTTCACATACTTTTCACTCCACGACATTTCTATCAATGTCCTCAAAGTAGAAAGTCGTTACTGTAGCAGCTTTGAAAGCCAGCGGGTGATTTTTTTTCTTCTGTAAAACGTGTCTATCAGTAATCACTATTGTAGGGCTACGTAAAGTAAATTTCCCAGCATTTTTGTGAACACTGACCAGTTGCAAACGTGATATTTATTTATATCAATTCAATAATAAGTAGTTAAAATTGTGGTACATATTAGACACAATATTGTCTTATTTTGCTAAATTATGTAAATGAAATTATGTGCGTCTCCTAACAAAATAATATTATATATGTATTCAGTAAGCGTAATGTATTTTAAGTTGCTTCAGAGGCATAAGTTATTGCAAGTATTACACACAATAATAATAAAACAGAGCATTGACAAAAAAAGACACTTGCTTTTGGCACTTAAGTACTTTTAAAAGCAAGTACCTCTGTACTTTTACTTAAGTAAAATTCTCTCTTTACAACTTTCACTTGTAATGGAGTAATATTTGACTTCGTCCACCTCTGGTTTCTGTGCGTGACGACGAATACGAAAAAACGCATACGAAAATTTCAGACTCAGTGTGCAAAGACCTTTAGAGTTAATATTTTATTTTAAAATTTCAGTTAAAGTTTTAGAGATTTTGTTGTGCGTTTTTATAATTTTTTTGTTTTCGTTAAGCTTTAGTTGTTATTATAGCACTTTAACTTTAACTAAACGAAGTGAGAAATGTTGAATAGCTTAAATAATTTTGTTACATTTTTAGTTAAAATTTGTTGTGCGTTTGTCATTTTATTATTTTTTTTAAATATATCTATATAGTTTTCGTTTTCGTTAAGCTTTAGTTGTTATTATAGCACTTTAACTTAAACTAAACGAAGTGAGAAATGTTGAAATAGCTTAAATAATTTTATTACATTTTTAGTTAAAATTTGTTGTGCGTTTTAGTCATTTTATTATTTTTTTAAATATATCTATATAGTTTTCGTTAAGCTTTAGTTGTTATTATAGCACTTTAACTTAAACTAAACGAAGTGAGAAATGTTGAAATAGCTTAAATAATTTTATTACATTTTTAGTTAAAATTTGTTGTGCGTTTTAGTCATTTTATTATTTTTTTAAATATATCTATATAGTTTTCGTTAAGCTTTAGTTGTTATTATAGCACTTTAACTTAAACTAAACGAAGTGAGAAATGTTGAAATAGCTTAAATAATTTTATTACATTTTTAGTTAAAATTTGTTGTGCGTTTTAGTCATTTTATTATTTTTTTAAATATATCTATATAGTTTTCGTTAAGCTTTAGTTGTTATTATAGCACTTTAACTTAAACTAAACGAAGTGAGAAATGTTGAAATAGCTTAAATAATTTTATTACATTTTTAGTTAAAATTTGTTGTGCGTTTGTCATTTTATTATTTTTTTTAAATATATCTATATAGTTTTCGTTAAGCTTTAGTTGTTATTATAGCACTTTAACTTAAACTAAACGAAGTGAGAAATGTTGAAATAGCTTAAATAATTTTATTACATTTTTAGTTAAAATTTGTTGTGCGTTTGTCATTTTATTATTTTTTTTAAATATATCTATATAGTTTTCGTTAAGCTTTAGTTGTTATTATAGCACTTTAACTTAAACTAAACGAAGTGAGAAATGTTGAAATAGCTTAAATAATTTTATTACATTTTTAGTTAAAATTTGTTGTGCGTTTTAGTCATTTTATTATGTTTTTTTATTTCAAGTAATGAATTTATGCTTTATTTAATTTTTTGTATTTTTAAAATGTATTTTATTTTTTTATGTGAAGACAAACTCCATTCTGGCACATTCATACATGACCCTGTCAGTCATTCATTTACACTCAATGACTTGGATCGGAGTGATTATAACTTTTGAAACACAATTGAAAGAAAAATAATTATGTATTTAATCATATTTGAGTGATGCATATTAGCAGGTACAGGCTTTCTGCAGATTTTATGAAGGTAAAGAAGAAAAAATGTAATGTAACATAAAATGTCAATATGGTCTCTAAATGTAAATGAATAACAACACTTCAAAGTTTGAAAATACAACTTTCAACAGATCTCCATTACTTTTTTTTAAAGTGTAACTAAATAACGGGGAAAACTTCATTTTGTTCAATTTCAAGGAAAACAGGACTTTTGCATCCCCAGTAAATGCATCTTGATTTAAGGATGTTTAGATATCTGTACTGGAAAATAACACAGAAACACTGAAAAAAAAAAAAAAAATTTTTTTTTTTTGCAATGCATGCAACATTTATACCCATGAATTTAAGACTTTCTGCTCTGATTTACAAGCTTTTTAGGCCTTAATTAATGAAACAGTAAATAAGAGCCACAGAAACCCGACGCAGAACTGATTCTTTCATTGATTTCTGACACATTTCTGAGGAAACCCATGACGCACGAGGGCTCCGGGTTCATCTGACGTCAGCGAGGTTTAGTTCACAGATGCATGATGGGAGCGCAGAACGTCACATACTCATGTACGAGTGTAAAAAGGCTTGTGCTGTCCAGAATAAAACTAGTTCCAGTTGAAGTCATATTGATGTGTCACTATAACGGCGTCCAAGATTAACGTTAACACACCGGCGGAGTAAAACGGGCTTTTGCTTTATGATGTTGCAAAGATATAACACAGAACACGGTTTAAGAATATTCATCTCCTGTGAGTGTTCTGAAATCTTTGATCTTGTTTCAGCCGCGTTTGAAAGATGTGAGTTAATCGGTCACTTCAATCTAAACTAAAACTTCATTCTTCACTAAACGTTTCCACAGAAAAACATGCTGCTAAAATCTACAGGAACCTTGGAAACCAGAAAACAAACAATAGAAAGGTCAAAAGAGGCTCGTTCACAACGAGAATCATAACTACAACAATATTCAGGCTTAACAGACAATTAATCTTCAGTAATATTATAGATTAAACAGCACTGACCATATCAGAGGAGAACGGAATTGATCTGAATATTGTATTCTCTAGAGCTGCTTTCGGATTAGTTTCATAACTGATGAATTTTGCATCATTAACGGTTATTTTCCAGTTTGTATTTCTACTTTGAATCAGTCTGTACTGTATAAAGTGCTAAATGTGACTTGACTTTAAAGCAGGCTGGGAAAAAAAACATTGAGATCCCTATCGTTCTGCTGTGTCGATATCGTTATGATTGTAGTGTGATTATTAAAATGAATTATTGTTAGAGTTATCGTTCCTGCTGTGAACAGGCCTTTAAAATAGTGTTAGTGATAAAGAGAGAGAAACTCAACTCATGCTCATTATAACATCTAGTCTTCATCTCTAGATTAAAGTCTTAACTACCTACTAATTGTAATAGCTACTCTACTGTCGTTTAATGATTTTTTTTTTTTGTTACTCTGATGATGTTTATCGTATGAACATCTTTTGCTTGATTTTCTTCACTTTGACACGCACACACACTCACTCACACATGCACACACACACACACTCTCACACACACACACACACACACACACACTCATGATCTGATGTGTTTTATTTGTTCAGGATGATCGTCTGATAGCACATCCATCAGCTCCTCAAACACTGATTGATCCTGTTATTTCTGTCTCTTCTGATCGTCTCGTCACGTCTCAGTGTGTGAATCTGAATCATGAGA